TCCTGAAAAGAGAAAAAAAAAGCTTCTGTATCAATTATATCTTCACCATATCTTCCATGACCAGACCCAAAACTGCACTAATACCAATACCATCATTTTATTAACACTACTTCTGGGTACCAATATTTGCATAAAATCACCATGGTAGCAGCTACTTGCAAGAGGGTACCTTGAAGGACTTATGTTAGGTTTAACTTGGCAAAACCTATGATAGACAGTTTGCAGGAAACTGGAATGTACTAATTTCCCAAGGCATGCAAACATGGGGTGATAATTTCTAATCCATGTACTTTGTCAAGGATGGAACCAGCTCTCTGCACAAGATCTTGCATATTCCTGTTTTAGGAGGGGAGCTTAAACTTTGATTTTATAAAACAAAATTAATAAGTCTAAATTAACCAGTGACCCAATGACCACCCAACACAGGAACCAAAGAGATGACTCAATCAGCATAAAATTGAGTCTCTCAAATGTTAATGATCATAAGTCAACGTACAGTTGAAGCACTCTACAAACCAAGCTGTACTTAGTAATTAAACCAGCAGTATATCAGAAGGACCACCAGAATTTCAGCAACATTTTCTAAGAGTATTTCCACATGTTTGTAGCCAAACATAATCACAACCATTGATCACAACATAATTAAATAGGTAATTAATATAATGCATAGTTCTTGACATAACATTACCAGGCAAAATAATTAATACTCACATGGATATAAGTGAAATGAGAGCATGCAGAATTCTAAACATATGCAAACAGGACACAATTATTCCCAGCAAATAAATTATTAACCCTTTAACTCCCACATCAAATTTGTAATTCTCCTTACTCCCAACCATACAATTCTTATAAAGTTAGTTCAGAGAATTTAGTATTGAATCAACCAATTATCCCCAAATTTATATTTTTCTTTACTCTCATTACTTATCTGGTTGATATTGTGTTGATATTGTAAGGAGAAATTCTGTCTTGGTCACTCATGGCAATTAAAGGTATAATAAAGATTGACAAAATGAAGGCAAAAATTAGTTTCAAAAATGAGAGAAAAAAAGAGCAGCAAGTCCTCTTACCTTGTATAGAGTTTCCTGGGTTCAAGAAAATAACCCTTGAATCAGAAAGTCTGAAAAGGGAAGCAGCAGAACAACAGTTACTATACATCAGTTATGAAAGACAATGACATTCACAAATAAGGGCACTAACAGGTGCCCAAGGTTATAAGTGTTATTGATGGCAATGTTTTATAATTAAATCAAAGTAATTTCATATTATCAGCTGAGTTGATTGATAATGTAAATTTGCTATTGTGACGAGTTTAAAAGCTGACAATTTGTTTGTCAGCCCAATTGCTCTGACAATGGGCTAACACTGAAAATGCCATATGTCATCTTTTTAAACCTTATCAACTCAATTGATAATACTAAATTATCCTTGTATACTTGCCCACTGAGGCAGCACCACAGTTTCTTAAGAAACTTACCCCTTTTTTCATTTATAATTATCAAAAGTCAGCTGGAATTAAAAAAACAACAACACCAACAACAACAAAAACCACCATGATTTTCAAAGACTAACCAAATGTGACCCTCCATATGATTTCAGGGACAAAGGTGATAACACGCACACAACACACCAACACATCATGCAGAATGCCCATTGTTCTCATGACATTTACTAACAGTAGTGAAAATATATAGATCTGTAATATTAGCAGTGAACTGCACTCTGGAGAGCTTTGATTGGTCATACATTACATAGGCTTTCCTCCTCAGGGAATATCACTCTAGCTCATTAACTGTTCAGGCGGAGCTAAGAAACAACAGCTTAATAGAAAGTTATTGTTTATGCTATTGTTAGAAAAAATCACCCCTTCATGCTTGTGTTACAAGCTGGATGAGCATTCAATTTTGAAACCTTTCATTACATATTCATCTCTTTCTACAACTTACTCAGTAACACTTCGGTTCTATCATTAATCATATATAGGATTCTATTTTCATCGGTAAAATCCACCTGCACAATTTTCCTATGATCGTAAGGACATAATAAAGTCTTAAAAGTCACTTTGACACCCATTTCTTTGAAACGAAGTGTGCCATCATGATTCCGAGAGTCACGAGCCAGGGCAATTCCATGTTACAGACATTACATTCAGAGACCAATTTTTTGGAAACTAATTTCCCTAACAAACTTATTTTGCACAGTTTTCAATGTATAATTTGTACAAAAATTCTTCACAGGGTACATGACCATCAGCAGAAAAGAAACCTTCCTTTCTTTCACAAAGGCTTCCAAAATTTTTGTGTTAAACTCTGTTATGAACATTACAAAAAAATCAACCTACAATTTTTTGTGTTCACTTGACACTTTTTTTCCCTGTGAATTGACTTAGATTTAGATTTAGATAACTTAGAAGTTAGATTTGAGCTTGAGCTAAAAACTTCCTGTTGTGGACATTACACAATTTTTGTTACAGACATTACACTGTGGAACTTCTTTTTTACACTGGTAAGAATAAGGAATAGTTTTGTTTATCTAGGAGCTTTTTATAATTGGCTTTGTCAGAACTGATAAATTTATCTTAATCAGGCCCAATTACAAGTTAACCCTTTAACTCCCAGAGGTGATTAATATAAAACTTCTCCCTACAAATTCATACATTATTCAGGAAACAGATGATGAGAATATTCAAACTTATCAGGTAGAACCTGCTATCTTCATCTAGCACCAAGTTCTCATAACTAATTTACAAGGAAATGTGTAGCAGCTAGAGGGGAGAATTAACAATTAGATCTTGGGAGTTAAAGGTTAATTCTCTTTTCTGGTTGTGCTGATAACCAAAGCATTAATATCACACTTGGGTGTACATGTAACTGTGGTAGGTGGAGTATCCCATATGGAGCATGCTCCTTACAATTCCATTTTATTGAGCATGCTCTAACTAGTATTTCTGCTGTCTTTTTGTTCCTGCTTTATGAGATGCAGTACAGGTTTCTAGTGTGACAACAAGTTTTACATTGGAAGAGCCCTTAGGGTTACTGATAATGAGGTTGAAATAAAATTTCTTCACCAAGTTTTGAAAACATTTAACTGGCCTCTGAGGAGCAATATTGATATTGTCCACAAGAGAAGAGTCTACTGTGGCTTCAAAGAGCTGAAAGGCACTGGACCTTTCAATATTCCAAGTCTTTCATATATTGAGAGGATTTTTAAATATCTTTGAAAATAAAATGTTTGCAAATAAATGATCAAATTAACTTCAGATTGCAGAAGTTAACACTGCTTTAAAAACTAAACTTAGATTGTTCTGATCTTTTTGTAAGAGTACTATTCATTGACTCTTAGTAAGCCAGTTGCACTTGCTCCCATTTACAAAGTACATCCAATATGGAAAAAATCCTATCTGCAAGTTCTTCTATGTGATTAGTTCTGTTAGTTTTGTTGTTCTGGTGAGACTTAAGGAATACAATTGTGTCTTACTGAAATCATTTTAAACCTTTCAGCGTGCCAGCTATTTTCACACACTTTTCATTGGACAAAAAATAATTAATAAACAGCCTTTCTTGGCCATTTCCTGCAAAGTCATCTTTCAGATTACTATTTTTCAAACAATTTAGGGTCTCCTAATCCACAACATTTTGGATTGTTTACATGATCTTTGTGATTCGTCCAGCATTGGGTTTGATTTTGTGCTTCGACATGCTACAAACATCATCAAAAGTAACCTAGCTCTCCACATGAAAAAAAAAATTTATGCAAAAATCCATGATTGGGCTAGATATGAAATAATTTATTTTATATGAATTAATTTATTTTTTAAAATAGAATAGGTCATGATGGTTTTGGTTATTTTTATCATCCTGTAAAAATTGCTCTTGCCATCTGGTGAAATATACTTTTACACAAATGTTTTGGCCGTCAATGGCTTTATGTAATGGCAATTTATGAATATCTTGAATGTGTTGGATTGTTTACGTGATCTTCATGATTCATCCAGCATTGGGTTAGATTTTGTGCTTTGACATGCTACAAACATCATCAGAAGTAACCTCTCCACATCAAAAAAATAATTTACACAAAATTGACATGGTAGCTGCTAATTGCCAAAGGGTACCTTGAAGGACTTAAGTTAGGTTTAACTTGGCAAAACCTATGATAGACAGTTTGTAAGAATGTACTAATTTCCCAAGACATGCAAGTGTGGGGTGATTATGTACTTTGTCAAGGATGGAACCAGATTTCTGCACAAGATCTTCCATATTCCTGTTTTAGGAGGGGAGCTTAAACTTTGATTTTATATACATTTATAAGTCTTAATCAGTGACCAAATTACCACCCAACACAGGAACCAAAGAGATGACTCAATCAGCATAAAATTGAGTCTCTCAAATGTTAATATTCATAAGACAACATACAGTTAAAGCAATCCACAAACCTAGCTGTACACAGTAATTCAACCAGCAGTATATTAAAAGGACCACCAGAATTTCAGCAACATTTTCTAAGAGTATTTCCACATGTTTGTAGCCAAACATAATCACAACCATTGATCACAACATAATTAAATACTTTAGGTAAGTAATATAATGCATAGTTCTTGACATAACATTACCAGAAAAAATAATTGATACTACATGGATATGAGTGAAATAAGAGCATGCAGAATTCTAAACATATGCAAACAGGACAAAATTATTCCCTGCAAGTAAATTATTAAGTAAACCCTTTAACTCTCACATCAAATTTGTAATTCTCCTTACTCCAAACCATACAATTCTTATAAGGTTAGTTCAGAGAATTTACAGTAATATTGGATCAACTAATCATCCCCAAATTTATACAGTTCTTTACTCTCATTACTTGTCTGGTTGATATTGTGTTGATATTGTAAGGAGAAATTCTGTCTTGGTTGCTCATGACAATTAAAGGGTTAATACAGATTGACAAAATAAAGGCAAGTTTCAAAAATGAGAGAAAAAAAGAGCAGCAAGTCCTCCTACCTTGTATAGAGTTTCCTGGGTTCAAGAAAATAACCCTTGAATCAGGGATAAAGTCAGAAAGTCTGAAAAGACAAGCAGCAGAACAACAGTCACTATATATCAGTTATGAAAGACAATGACAGTCACAAATAAGGGCACTAACAGGTGCCCCAAGGTTATAAGTGGTATTAACGGCAACATTATATAATTGTATCAAAGTACGTTCTTATTGTCAGCCAAGTTGATAAATAAATGTAAATTTGCCTCTGCGATGAGGTTAAAAGCTGACAATTTGTTTACTCTGACAAAGGGCTAACACTCAAAATGTCATCTTTTTAAACCTTATCAACTCAATTGATAATACTAAATTATCCTGTTATACTCTCCCACCAAGGCAGTATCACAGTTTCCTTAGAAACTTATACCCCCTTTATTCATTTATAATTATCAAAAGTCAACTAGAATTAAAAACAACAACAAACAACAAAAACAACAACAACAAAAACCAGCATGATTCACAAAGGCTGACCAAATGTGACCCTCCCTTTCAGGGACAAAGATGAGAACACACACAACACATCAACACATTGTGCAGATTGCATAACTTTAAAATCTAGTTGTATTCCTTATTCTGTAGTTAGATGTTGTGTTTGAGGTAAAAACTTCCTGTTATGGACATTACACAATAATATATATATATATAACATATTTAAAGAGGGAAAAAAATGGAGAGAACTGTAACAATATTGCGTGACACTGTCACGACCTCGTGGTCCACTGACGACATCTGTTTTCTTATATTAAATATATCTTGTTGGTCCGACATCTTGGTTTTGTATGTGTTCTCCTCTACATTGCCCGTTCTGGCTTGTTACAAGAACAGTTTTAAAAGAAAAGGGAAAATAAAAGAACATCTATACCTACTTTGTGCCCTGTTTAGATTCCTGCCTTCAAGAAATCACAATCTGTCGGTCAGAAATGATGGACATGTCATAATTTCTAAAAAAGAAAAACAGAAAATAAATATTAATCAAATATAAGGGATGGTGACAGTCACAAAAATTGCATTTAAGGTGCTATATTTAAGGCAGTAATTGTTGCTACTGAACAGTGCAATGAGCTGAAGAAAGTTTTACAACAATCTGAAAGTCATTCACAACGACATAAAGCTGTTTCACTTGATCATGCTGAAAAGGGGTTGTTCGAAAATAATTAAAATTAAAAGGAATCGTATAATGGTCTGCTAACTTTAGAACACAGTAGGGTGAACGGGGAACTTAAACATGTCATTCGCCAAATTGCGAAGGAAACAGATAGTTTTTAGGAAACTTGGGCTATGTACCTGGTGTAGAATTGTTAAGCAGCATACTATCTAGATTGACAAAGAATAATCCCACAAACAGCCACGATGAACTAATTCACACATAGGAGCAGGTGTTGATACGGAAACTTTAGAATGTGACGTAATCATGGGCAGAACAAAATTTCTTGAACTCAAATGTCGCATGGTTTAATCTCAGATTGAATTTGAAGGCGCATTGATTCTTTTTGAAAAACTTCCATCGACAAATAATGCCTCACTCGAGTTCTCGGAAAACGTTCTATTGAATTAGAGAAGGCAAGTCATTCTTTAGCACCGGAAAACGAACTGTATGGAAAGGGTTTCACTTTCAGTTTCCACACGCCTACTAAAATGGCAACTTCCGCCTTCACTAAAACACATTACGTTTTTCCAATCTGTTCGGTCGCACTTCCCTGTCGCTTTAATCTAGATTAGGAACGACTCCTGAGAGTAAAATAGTTGGCCCGAATACAAAACAGACCCTTACTAAAGTATGAAATAGAAATTTTTAGAGCGCATCAATTCATAATTCATGGTCGACTTACCCTTCAAGTGTTCTTTTCGTGAACGGTGCTTCAAACGAAATGATTACACCCAGGGCACGTCAAGAGGCTAAGCAATCGTCCTGAAAAGAGAAGACAGTAGCTAATGTATCAAATATATGTTCCACATACGCTTATCTCCAAAGACTCGTGTTAAAAGTTTCACAATCATACACATTCACGCGAATGATATACAATAAGTCGACAACGGATTATTGAAGTTCAATTTAAAGTGACAGAGCGAATAACTTTACTATTATGTCTGTACCTGCTCTTTCTTCGGGTCAACTCTTCACATGGACAGTGACGTGAGTTTAAACCAATTCGTTTCCCCCTTTCCTGATCTTCCAACGAGCGAAGGAAGTGACTCACAAACGGTAAGTATTGTAATAGACTCGGAAGACGGAGTCGTTTACGACATGCGCAGATGACATTATTCACAAAGGTAACATTACGCATTAAACCGGGTAACACAGTCACGCAATGAAAACTAACTTGCAATGTGTTTCTCGTCGTCGGGAAGAAAGATCGTTTCAAAAAAAATTATGACAGAAATCTTTTAAGGTACACATAATCAATAGACTACCCTTTTTTTCTCTTAAAGCTACAAACGAGTTGTCATTAAAGTTGCCTCTAAACAACATCGCGTGATCCACTTCATATCATCTCTCGCTACAGGTCACGCATCTAAGAACCTAACAAGACACGCACAGCAGATTTTCTGCACCTCACATTGCAGTCGAAGACTTACCGTTTTCGCCTAGTGATCTCTCTATTTTGCACCTTTCCTCTGACAAAGGAAGACAACGTTTCCCCTTCTATAGTACTAATATAATCCTGGGTGGGTTTTTTCCAGTATATTGGGGCGTATTAGCGTCAGATAGCGATTTTATGCCAAAACTCCGAGTGATGCGCTCGTCTCCTTAACCACCACCCCTTAAAAACACAGCCAGAAACTCTCACCTTCCATGCTCGTAGTCGTGACTTAATCCCAATCTAAACCTCCCTTCTTCTCATAATTTATTGTTAGACTCTGATCAGCAGTGCTACCTTTCAGTCTGAGGGAATGGGCTAATGGGATATGCCGCTGGATGTGATCGCATCTTCATGGCTGGATTGATTGGGGTTGTGTTTTAAATAGAATATCCAGAATAGGGTCGCACATTTCCGCGAGGCCTAAGTAAGTAGGGATTTGAAAATGGGAAGATTTGAGATTAAAAAGTTTTCAGCGTATTACCAGAAGAGACTAAGATGATGTCTATGATTGGCCGCAGAATATTTTAGTGGGTAGGGGTTTTTAAAAAACCAGCAGCACACACCCAGCAAAAATTAACCCGTGTACCTTCCCCACCCCCCGCCCGGACTGGGTCTTTCTCACAGTTGGCTGGAAGCGGATGCATACCGCATAATGCTCAGTCGGCGTGTAAAAAGGATTGAACGCATGATCAGCTCTCTAAATCCTAAACCAATTTTATTTTTGTAAGTTTTATTTGTCTTTCTATGATTTATTTTTCATATTATTCTGCTACCGTACGTCAAAGTTCATGCCTAATGACAGGAAAGTGAATGAATATCTTCTTTTACTGAACATGATACATCATGCAAACCCGAACACCGTGGCATGGTAAACAATCGTTAGGAGCAAAATCGATCAATTTTAACCGTTTGCGGTAAAAAAAATAATGAAGCGTATGATTTTTTGTTTAATCACGATAATCAGCGTAAAATGGCCGAAATTTTAATCGTTAGCCGTAAAAGCCATCACCCCATTAAGACCCTCTATGAGGTATTCACCTTTCTTTTTTTTTTAATTAACAAACCGATGACGTTTGTATTGTTGTCGGCTGTCGGCTTCGATTCCCTAATTTGTTACGCATCAGTACGTGCTGGTAAGTAAGGAAAACTCGGTCTGGATGGTTCTAATCGAAAATCGAGACTGGATAGTCCTGACAATGTTGCTGGAGTGCTCCTCTGAGAATGTCTTTGAATTTATTGAATTTGCTAATCATCGTCAAAGCAAAGAGGCGCAAGGGAGTTTGTTACATCGGTTTAGATATGCAGCAGGGTAAATTTATTAGGCCTGCGTTACGGAAAAGTACTTCCACCTGGCTTTCTAAAGATCCCGATCTTCAGATCGGACAGGAACACCTTTTCGAAAAAAGCCGCGATCCTCTACAAATCTCACATCCTCATCAGCAGGATAATGTATTGGTAAGTTACCTTAAGGTGGCAGGAAGCTTTCAGGTCGGCATGTTGTTCGACAATCTTGCAGACTTAAGTCATCAGACTGTTAAAGAAGTGTTTGGCAACATGGAGGATTTTAATTAACGGCGAGTACTTTCACGAACACACTCGTTACCCGCCTGTTGGTATTTACACCTGCAAAAGAAAACACTTGAATACACTGTCTAACACCGATCAAATAGACTACGCTCGTGAAAAACAAATCGAGAGAACATTGAAGGGATAATTCGGTAAATAAACAAATTGCAATGTGATGAAATAGAATATTCATGAAACGCGAACTCATGGATGTACAAATTGCGAACGAGGTACCCTCGAATGAGACTAATTTTGAAACAAATGTGTCTAAATTATGAAAGAGAATAGAGAAAGCTTGAAATCTGAATACACTGGTGAAAATAAATTGAGCATTCTTAAATAAAAAATACAAAAGCCTTCAAGATATTAGGGACCTTAAGCAGTCTGGATGGCAACGCTAAGGAAGATCTCGATTAAAAAATAAATTTTGCCTTTAATTAGAATTTCAAAAATGGCTGCATTTGTCTCATACGGCGCCACTCCTCAACTTCAGCAAAACGTATAAAAGAAACGTTGAGTTCCAAATGGAAATTAAAGTAATTCGCAGTCGCGGTTTCGGTTCGCAGACTACGCAAATTGAGGGGATCTCACGTTGTTGTTTTGCATAGGACGGCTAAGAGATATACAAAGTTTTAAAACGCACGTGTTGAGCTATTGTTCTGCCAATCAAATCTTTTGTTTCTCCATGTACTCGTTGCCGTCTATTTGCGGTATGTGTACAACTCGTATCGCATACTGGGTGGCTAATGATTTATGTTTATTAGGGTGGTTTGAGTTGATAAAGTAAATTTGCTACCGTAAAGCACTACAAAGTTGACGTTTCGAGCGTTAGCTCAGATAAAGGGCTAATCCTCGAAACGTCAGCTTTGTAACTCTTTACGGGGGCCAATTTACTGTGTCAACTCAGTTGATAATACCAAATTAAGAATCCGCTGGCAATGCAATACATTCGCAACTGATATACCATATACAATCCTGATATATAATCAACTCCTTACACATTCAAAAATAGGTGTACATCACTAACATTTTAACTTCACCAAGTCGAGATTAAAAGAGATGGGCAACCGCTCAGAAGGACACTACTACGGTTATAGGGAGGCCAGAGAAAAACTGCCAGAAAAAACCCCTTTAGGGAAAATATATGACAGGAAATCTAGGTGGGAACCATGGCCCAAACTCAGAGCAGTTAACAGCCCATCCTGCGAGGCATTACAGTTAAACAAAATAAGTTTTTAAACCAAAATAAATGTGGCATTAGCCTAAGGTGCAAAGTTGGTTATGAAGCCTAGATGGACACTACGTGCCATACTCCCCTTCATATACCACTGCATCATTACCCATGGTGCTCGGGCACGGGGCCCAGGCCTTGTCGCATCTCGTGCCGACAAAATATTTTTTTCTGCCTTATTCACAGACTCAATCGTCAGAAAGACCATTTTTAGTGTTATCCAAAGAACACTTTGTTTACCTCACCCCTATTGTGTCCTCACCTCGCCCCTATCCCCTACACACTTCCCGTTTAATGTCACTTCCCACCTTAGCGGGAAAAAATTCTCTTCGGGAAAAAATTTCCTTCGGTAAAAAAATTCGTACGCGCGTTTGTTTCAATAAAATCCTAGCAAACTATCCACTGAAGAAAGCTTAATAACTGCTAACTGTTTGGCGAAATTTGAAGAAAATCGGTCAAATCCATACACCCTATAAATTCGCTCAAAGTGGTAGTATTCCTTCCAAAATTAAATGCAAGATTATTTCGTCCCCGGGGACCGCAAACTGGGACAACGGAACCTCTTGGCGTCAACGACGATGGATCAAGATTTCCCGAGAATAGAAACCCATTGCAGTCTTTTTTTTCTTTCTTTTTATCTCGAGCACTTAGTGGAGCGTAGAGGATGACGACACAATAATGGGCAAAGGGAAAAACCGGAAAATGTTCTGAGGAACAAGACAACGAATCGACAGATAACTTTCAAAATTACGTTTTGTGCAGGAGCCGGTTTTGTGTCAAGGCTGGTACTCGTGTAAATAAGAGGAAACCTCTTTAACAATACAATTTTTTTCTTTTCTTTACAGAATGGTACTCTTTCTGTCTTCCTTGGACCTGTTTTTTTTCCTTTTTCACCAGGGGGCTTTCTTCCACTTGTGATTTTTCCATGAACAAAGATTTTTATATTAGCAAAGGGCTTCCACGCGTGAATTTTGTCAAGTGCGCGACTTAAGAAATAACACGAAAAACGAGCCTCAAGATGAGAAGTTGCCGCGAAAATTCCCTCAGGGTTTCTCGCAGCTCCGAGATTATGACACCTTCCTGATTTAAGAACTTTTCTTTGAAAATACGTTTTTCTGAATAACTCTGGCGCTTTTGAAGACTTCAGAATTTTTGTTGTTAAGGAAACGTTAGGTTAACTAAAAGATCTGAACGCACTAATTCTCCCAGGCGTTACTGAATAATTATCTCATGTCACAGTGTCAGTTGATGAAGTTGTAGACTGAAAAGTTACGAATAGCCACAGAAAAGAAAAGCACAATCACTCTAATTATTCCTGCAGAAGTCGGTTCAGGTCACTCGCAGTTTTGTTCATATTTATTACCATTGTTGGACAAATCTTAATTGGTCAGAGTCTTATTGACTTTGATTGCCTCGGCGATAGATGTGGCATCGGCATCACCAATATCATCTTGAGACAAATTCAAATCAGTTAAAGTGTTGTTGACTTTGATTGCCTCCGCATTTGACGTCGTACCGGCAGCACTAAAACCATTGAGAGAAAAAATTGGTCAGTGTCTTGTTGACTGTGATTTCCTCAGCAATAGACGTAGCACCGGCATAACTTATAAAATTGAAAAACAAATTCAAATTGTTTAGCGTCGTTTGACTTTGATTGGCTCAACAATAGATTTAGCAAAAGCATCACTAACACCATTCTTAGAGACTAGTTCAATTTGGTTAGCGCCTTGTTGACTTTGATTTCCTCTACAGCAATAGATGTAGCAAAAGCATCACTAATACCATTCTTAGACAAATCCAAATTGGTTAAATTCCAATCACATTTGTACAAGTTAAACGTTCATTTTATGTAAT